CGCTGAAAATGGCAAGAAAATCTACCGAGCCGTTTCGGCGGCGATCAAAATGACCCAAATCGCGGCAGAAACGCTAAACACCCCCCTAGAGAGGTAGCTCAGGTTGGGATTTTCAATAGAAAATCACAATTCTAAAGAATAGTGATTTGTCTAATTGAAAAGTCCCAACCTTCGGATAAGTATATGCGTATTCCAGTGCACAATATCCCCGTGAAATACATGGCCGGATCGACTGCAGCCTGAGAGGGCACTATGTTCTGACCAGCACAATATGCGGTGCGCTGGTGCATGTGAATCACGGGCAGTGAGCTGCCATCCACTATCCAGCAAAGCCGCTCGGACATTTACACATGACTGGCGCTGTGATGAATTGATCTGATGAGACACATCCCGTCGGTTCGCATGGTCCTAACACGCAGTTATCGGCTACTATGTCTCAAACGGTTGAGTTGGGTAAGTATTTGAGCCTGGCCAGTTGAGATAGGACTACCGAAGTCATACATTTCAAAGTGTGAGGCTGATTTGTGTAAAACTATAAATTATTGGTGTCCCGTTGAAAACGAAGTCTAATTATCGCGAAGTCTAATTATAGATGGGCGTTTAGAGCAAATACGCAGGCTGGTATGAGCTGTAATACCTATAAGATATTCATAAGTCGACAATCGTGGCCAGGCAGTCTATATTAATCATACACCTCATTATAGGCGCTGACTGGACAGCCTACAGATCAACGAGTGCACGACGCCACGTCCAGGATAACAAACAATGGCATCGGCCGTCATTCTTCATCAATTAGTAGGTCGATGCGAGCTGTTATGCAGGACACGTGCGAATTTGGCATTCATAAGTGATCACATGATGACCATGACGGTGTAATGAACAGGATCGAACGATTTGTTGCTCTCCAATATCGGTTTCTGCTGTCACAAAGGCAGGATCAATCAAAGGTAAATGATCCACAAGGTCACTAGGATGACTGCTCTCATGAAAAAGCCATTCAACATGAGGTAAGATTTCAGCCAAGGGATCAGCAATTCTACTCGCCTCACAAACTTATCCAAATCTTGCAAACTTTGTCGTTGTATAGCAAATTAGTGCTCACACTTTTTCGGCTGTCTATCCCAAATGTCGAATAATCTTTAAGCAGGCCTTAGGTACCCGTGTTGACGTGAGAACATATTTGTATGGTTTAAAAAAAAATGGGAATTTGTATTGAGGAAAAATTTCCAGACTCAGTCGTATCGAAATCATACGGTTGTAGTGAAGCATGTAGAGTGCGACTTTTTGTGATTCCGCTATGTACTACTTGACCAATATCCTCATGACTTAATTCAAAATGGCAAGTAAATAAACCTAAATACATCGACGCCCTTTTCCATCATCAGGATAGTCAAATCCTTCACCTCCACGCCTCCACCCCCTGTTCCGGGCTGGACGGTGACCTTTATCCCACATGGATGCTCCATCCTGAAGGAGCAGGCCGGGCTCGGACGGTTCGGTGACCGTCAGCGGGACTGGGTGGCCTGTCAAGTGTCCACGTGATGGTTTCAGCCCCGACGGAGCACCAGAGTTCCGACCAGACCAATTTTATCGCCAGAACGGCAACGGCAACTGATGAAATTAGTACTGAAAATTGAACGCAAATTATACATCACGGTGTCAATGCTTGTTTACATTACCCCAAGCCTCCCCCCGCTCCCCCCCCTAGAGTTGAGAGCGTAAAATATACTTTCGCTCGGGCTCAACATTTTCAATCCCTCACGGCTTACACCTCCAATAGCCGTTCATTGTCCTACGCCTCCATTTTATAACATTCCTTTAAAAATATTGTCATGCGGTTACTATTGCATAAAGTATGTATAGTATACAGCTACGAAAAGTTAGCTTACCATCTATCCAATAGAAAAGGACGTTGAACCTGTGGGTCATCCGTCAATTTATAGCATGTCTTCTGCAGAGAGCTCCTATCTCTGAAGGCACCAAACAAGTATTCAGGAAGCTAATGTCTTTGTAGATGCTCTGCCGCGTACAACAAGCATAATCAAAAGGTCAGCAGTTCAGAGCTGATGGATTGAGTGGTTCGATTCATACATAAAGATTGTCCCTTGCGGGTTTCCATCGTTCAACATGTCGGATGAGCACATAAGGAGCATGTGCATCGGTACATGAACATGCATCCGCTTCCTAAGTGATTCAGAATCTGCAGCTGCTTTAAACAGTGTGTATTAGGTATCGTTAAGTTTAATTCTAGATGAAAAGTCACAACACTAGACAGGAGTGTTAATAGTATGGAACAATAAGTCAGCGACGATTTGTTATTTTCGATGAGCGTCAGAGCAATAACGTCTGTCACAGCAGCGTATATTCACTTGTACCAGAAATTATGGAATATAGAATGATGGCTTTATTAAGCGATCGTGATCACAAGACACAACACGTTTTGCATTGAGCGAAAATCAGCGCCAGTTTAAAATTGTCCTTCAGGAGGATTACCAACCACTGAAATAGCAATGACTGTTTTTGGTTCAGTTGCGCATGCATATATGTATTCTCATGTAACTAGATATATCTATTCAGATATATATCTGGAGATATTCAGTTTCAGATATTGAGATAAGCACATGTAGCTATATATCTTCTGCCGCTAAGACTGTACAACATGATACTTGCATATTACATGCACAATGTGCTTGCAACAATGCGCAACAGCAACCAAAGCAACAAGGCAATCAGCCACCAATGATCTTAACAAGCCGTCAGCGGTCCATCTCTCCTGAACAGGAGGAATGTTTTTATTAGTTTTGAGAGAGCTCCTGTGCTGGCACTATGTTGTTTCCGCCGATGTTGCATTGTTGCACACATGGTGAAAGCATTGAACCGGTTGTGAAACCGCATGAAGTGACGCTAATATACTTTCAGCCAAATCACAATATGCGTTGTTAGTGGTCGCATGCTACTCATGCCTCTTAAATTTCTCCTCGACTGTGCTTGAACGCCGAACTCGCAGCATCATTTGCTCGAGTCAAAACCTTCAAAAACATTCAATCAAATTAAAGAACCAGAGCTTTCTAATCATCGTGCTATCGTCAACAATCAATCGGAGTAACGGTAAGAGACGTCGCCCCCTTTTTGGGTCACCGACCGACGAGCTGGGGGGGGGGGCGCCCCCCCATGCGGAACCTCTGTCCAGAGATGACTGTGGACGGCTCACCCGCCCGCCAGGCAGGTCGCCGGTCGAGTCAGAATGTTCCGGGAGAGGCCCGTAAGTGGGACACCTTCACCAGTTATGAGACCAGTTGATTTGACTCATAGCGTTTCGACATGGGACTTAGAAAAGAAAGCATACCTTAAGTCGCAGTTCACGATCCGCAGATAAGTGTCGTGAGGCTCTTCCTGACAAATATGAGCATAATGGTACTTTTAGAAACTCTTCTGTCATGCTGGAGATAACGATGCGTTTCCTATAGATGTTTTGCGCATTATATCATGATTTGGCATCTGTAATCTTCTCTACGAATAGTACTCTCTAGTCTTCTACCATTTCCTACAATGGAACTTACCATGTAATCCTTGAGGATGGGTTTCCCAAACTTGTTCCTGATGACTCTCCTATCCTACACAATATTCCTATAAGTATACCCCATTTACAATCTGTTTCCTCTAAATGCAAAACAATCCTGCCCTCATCCATGTCCCATGTGCTAGACAAAACGGACTTATCAATGGTTCACATTAATGCTCGCTCACTCCACCAAAACTTTGATTTTATTGTTGCTTTTGTTTCCAAGCAAAATATTAAAGTCGATATACTGTTGATCTCTGAAACTTGGCTTAAACCTGACATCACTGACTGTTACAGGATTGATGGGTATGAAATGATCCACTCCATACCCACTGATAATGTCACTGGCAAGGGCTGTGCCATATATATCAAGAGTGAAATCTTTCCATACTGTGCAGTGATCGATGAGATGTCTGTATGCCAAACTGAGTTTCAATGTATTAGCATTCTTATTACTTTTCCACATGGAGTCCCATTTGTTGTGTGTACTCTATATAGGTCACCGTCATACCCACTTTCCCTTTTGATGCCATTTCTTGAAGATACCCTTGATAAAGTAGTTCAACTGAAGAAGCCATGCTTTTGGGGTGGAGACTTTAATGTGAATCTATTCAAATACAATGATAATCATGATTCTAAGCAATTTTTAGATTGTATGAGCTCTCATGGCTTTTATCCTACTATCACTGTTCCTACGAGAATATCAACCACTCCACCCTTCCCAGCAACTCTCATTGATAATATTTTCACAAATGTCCTAGATGCCATCACATTTAGTGGGGCTATCTGTGCGGGGATCGCTGACCATCAAGCTGTTTGCTGCACTACCGACCTGGTCAAACAAAGCCCAACTGTCAAAGGAGCTGCATCCAGACCTAAATTTAACTATAATCGAATTGATGAACTCAAAGTAAATGTTCTCAACAGTCTGGAGGGCTTTTTGGAACTGGACGATCCAGACGACTGTGCTAGTAAGCTAATATCTGTAATACAGACCAAAGTCTCAGAACTCTCCTCAATCAAAACCTCCAGGAAAAGCATCCCCGTACAACCCTGGGTAACACCAGGGCTCCTACGCTCTATGAACACGAGGAGCGCTCTTCTGAAGGCATTTCTAAAGGATCGCTCCAATGATAAACTGAATAAGTACAAGAAGTACCGTAATGCTCTGAGACTTACTTTGAGACATGCCAAACAAAATTACTACCGTTCACAATTTGAAAAGAATGCTGGCAATCCCAAGAGGCTCTGGGCTGATTTGCTAGAGGCTATTAATAAACGAAAAACACAAAGGGATCTGCCCAGCAGATTCGAGACTGAAAGCGGTACAGTCACAGCGCCTGATAGGCTGGCATGCATGTTTAACGACTATTACGCTCAAGTAGCCCCAACTTTGGATGCAGCTCTTGGCCCCTGCACGGTTGATCCTCTAACATACCTGAATGATGTTGCGGTTCCAAATGAATTAGCTTTTCAGCCAGTTAGCCAAGCAGTTGTTTTAAACATTGTTGAAGGGCTAAAGGATTCTGGTGCTGGCTTGGACGGCATCAACAGTAAACTTTTAAAACATCTGATCCCAGTGATTGTTCCACACGTAACTCATTTAGTTAACACCTGCATCACTAAGAGCAAATTTCCAGCTGTGCTGAAAACTGCTCTGATTACTCCAATATATAAACCAGTATAACGCCTTATGGGGCGACTAACGGAGCGAGCGAGAGGGTGGGCCTTGCACGTGCGAAATTGCGAGGGGGTACCTCCAACTGACTTGTGTACGGCACCCTACTAACCGGTCTCTAGCGATTTGCCAAATTTGAGCACAATCGGCCCAGCCGTTCTCGAGATCTGGGAGCGGCACCCTGCACGTGCGCACGTGCAAAATGGGTCCCGAGTGGCTTTTGCACGGCACCCTACTAACCGGTCCCTAACTGTGTACCAAATTTGAGCGCAATCGGTCCAGCCGTTCTCGAGATCTGGAAACGACCCCTGCACGTGCGCACGTGCAGCAGCACCCCAACTCTGGCACATGGATATGCAGTGCCTAGTGGGTGCCTACCTACATGCCAACTTTCAGCGCAATCGGCCAAGTAGTTATCGAAATATTGCAACAATTGCAAAACTGACACCTCTTCGTTTTGCACGTGGCACGTGCATAAAGGGTCACTCACATGCATCAGGAATAGTCCAATACTTGGTAGAAGGAATGAAGCTACCCTATAAAAATTACCGCGTGTAAATCGGTCAAGTGGTTGCTGAGATATAAGCCTCGCAAAAGCGTCCGCACGGCCGGCCGGCCGGCCGGCCGGCCGGCCGGCCGCTCATACTCAGAAATTTCCGTTATTCTACGTAAGACTCCGCTCGCTTCGCTCGCTCCGTAATCAGGCTCGCAATCGTTATTTTCGAATTATAGGCCTATCTCAGTGTTACCTGCCATTTCTAAAATTCTTGAATCAGTGATACATTTTCAACTCCTTAGTTTTATCACTGAACATAACATACTTTTTGGGCAACAATTTGGATTTAGAGCCAATCACTCAACGTATATGCCCATTTGCCTTTTGCACGATATTATTACCGCCAAACTTGTTGCTGGCCACTCCACTGTGGGTATCTACCTTGATTTGGCTCGTGCCTTTGATACAGTAAATACAAATATTCTTCTTAAAAAGCTGTCAAAATATGGCATTACGGGTAATGCCCTGTCTCTTTTTTCATCTTATCTTAGTGGTAGAAAGCAATGTCTAAAATTTAATGATACTATTTCGCGTACTATTGACGTTACGTGTGGTGTGCCCCAGGGCTCAATCTTGGGGCCAATCTTATTCCTTCTCTATATAAACGACCTTCCTAAAGTATGTGATGAAGCCAAATTTCTTTTGTTCGCCGACGATACAGCCATCCTCTACTCTGCAAAATCGCGTGCTGAGCTCCAACGTGCAGTTTCACGGTCGTTTCCAAGAGTACTTATGTGGCTCCACGCAAATCGGTTGTCTCTTTCGACCTCCAAAACAGTTTACCAGCTTTACTCCCCTAGTAGTAATGAGATGGAAGGCCTTTCCATACCTGCTAAAGGTGTTAACTTAATGCGAGCCTCTACAGTAAAGTATTTGGGTATCCTAGTAGATGAAAATCTTAAATTCAAGTCTCACATTAGTAAAGTATCTTGCGTCATTAGTAGAAATATTGGCATAATGGGCCGAGCCAAATATCTCCTTAATAAGAGACTCATGATCCTCTTGTATAACTCCCTTGTCCTTCCCTACCTTAGTTATTGCCTGATTGTATGGGGCTCGAATTATGAATGTAACCTAATTCCTATCATCACTGCGCAAAAGCGAGCGATCAGGCTCATAGCTGGTGTGAGTCGCCTGTCCCATACCTCTCCACTCTTCCGTGAACTTAAACTTCTTAAGCTTTGTGATGTCTTAAACAAACAACTGCTTCTTGTTTTACATGACTTCCTCTTTGACCGGTTACCTGATGCTATTTCGGTTAGGTTCTCCTTGTACATAAGTAATCATTCTCGTCCAGTTCGTAATCCCAGGCACTTCAATGAGCTGGTCTCTACGGACAACGGGGATGGGGTGCCTAATTATCGGTTACGCAATTATCGTTTATTTTCACCATTTTGTAGAGCACCAGTAATCTGGAACCAAGTAATTGCCTCGCGTATACCTAACCTTCGTGATATCCCCTCCAGTAAATCCCTTTTTAAGAAATGTCTTATGCATATCTTCATTGATGACTATTAGATTTTCCAATAACTCAGCTGTATTACTTGCTCTTGTCTTCTTTCTATTAACCTTTTTTTTCCATATTTACTTTTTTCCCTGATAGTTCTGATCCACCACCACCACATCCGTTGCTTCCTTGACTTATTGGCGTGCAGCGGGACCTCAGGAAGTTAAACAACCTATATCCCGCTGCACTTAGCCAAACACATTATGTCTAGTGTTAATCATAAACGGGATTAGCATTGCACTCCGTTTAGCATGTATGTATTGTTAGTTCATCGATATAGGTATACATATTTATTCATACATGAATTCATATACAGATTAACAATGGCCATTCAACACTACGCTACTCAAGTTTTCTTTCCAATTCTTTAAATACCCCAGCATCGTACCAGTTTGTACCTGCCTACATTCCCGACCCCTGAACGATAATGTGATTGACCCCGGCCTAACGTTCCTCTCCGACCATCTGCCCCTACAGCTGAGCTACACGGCTGGACAGGGTCCGGTCGAAGCCCGGTGCCATGCTGCTGGGGGCTGCTGCGGCCTGCGACGGATGGCGGCTGTTGCTTCCGCTCCCTGAGGAGATGCCGTCCTTGTGGCGCACAGGGCGGCTACCCACGGTTGCAGCCCGATGGCTTCATTCTCGGGACGCGGCCCGTTGGATGTGCGACGACCGGCACCTTGCGACCGCTGCGGTGACCGGCAGCGGTGCCCCCTCTCCTGACTTGACAACGGACTACATCTTCGTGCTGCCATGGGGTGGCGCCACTGGTGGGACGAGCGCCACTGGTGGAGCAGGCGCCATCTCTGAGGCGGTACAGCCGACCGGCTGGCTAACGGCGTCGAGCGCCTGATGAATGCTGCGCTGAGCGGCGACACTGAGTCGCCGCTCTCGAACTGTCGACGTCCCACTGAGCTTGTTGGACATGACTACGGGGCAGCCGACTAGACTACATCCTCGGCCGCGGCCCGTTGGATGTGCGATGACCGGCACCTTGCGACCGCTGCGGTGACCGGCAGCGGTGCCCCCTCTCCTGACTTGACAACGGGCTACATCTTCATGCTGCCATGGGGTGGCGCCACTGGTCGGACGAGCGCCACTGGTGGAGCAGGCGCCATCTCTGAGGCGGTACAGCCGACCGGCTGGCTAACGGCGTCGAGCGCCTGATGAATGCTGCGCTGAGCGGCTATACTGAGTCGCCGCTCTCGAACTGTCGAAGTCCCAGTGAGCTTGTTGGACATGACTACGGGGCAGCCGACTAGACTTCATTCTCGGCCGCGGCCCGTTGGATGTATGATGACCGGCACCTTGCGACCGCTGCGGTGAGCGACAGCGGTGCCCCCTCTCCTGACTTGACAACGGGCTACATCTTCATGCTGCCATGGGGTGGCGCCACTGGTGGGACGAGCGCCACTGGTGGAGCAGGCGCCACCTCTGTGGCGCTACTGCCGACCTTGGACCGGCGGGATGACGGCGTCGAACGCCCTATGACTGTGTGCTGGACGGCGATACTGAGTCGCCGCTCTCCGGGCACCATCCCCATCGACCAAGGCCCGGCTGGTGGTTGGCGCCGGGTGCCGGATGGCCGCTGCGCTCGGCGGCGGTGCTGGGTCGCCGCTCTCTGGAATGACCGCTGACTCGTCTTTTTGATCTCGTCTTTGTGTTACCGTCTGGTTAGGCACTGTCAAACTCCCCAATATAACCTTTAACACTAACTGTCCGTATTCTAACAAAACTAACATGTGAATCCTTTCCGACCAATCCCGTTTGACAGTGCCATAAATTATGAATTGTTCAATGTGTGATCCCAAATTATAATCAATAAACGGAACGGAACATTTAAGAGATCCGTTGTTCTGGCAATAGACATCACTATTGAAAGTGTAATTATGTAAAGATGCAGAAAATATGTGGGTCGCAGGCCACTCTAGACAGTCTCCGATGGAGACAATTTCACCATAAGTTTCCGCATTAAGTGTGTTATTCATCCTCGTATGTTTGCTAGAGAGAACTTAATTAGAGCACAGCATTTCCAACAGGAACAGACATTTTTGGCGTGTCAGGTTAACGCCAACTCATGTGTAAGACAGGAATGCAGCACACCTCATCTTCAATGTATTTTTATATATAAAAAGTTGATTTGCCTGGCTAATTATGCAACGTTTCTACGATTTGCCAGCCTACTATTTCCCACCCAAGCCCTTCAATTTACTTATAGGTACTAATCAGCATTGTATTCTATGGCGAAGAGATGACAAAAATAAGTGCTTCAGTCAGAGCGAGCTGGCTGCTTATTTTTGTGATGTTGCTACTGTTGAAAAATGCCGACGTTGAAAACAGAAACTCTTCTTAAGGAGCTCGAATGATTGTCATAAGGTCGATTAATCGAGATGCTGAATGCCATTGTCTAGGCTAGCTTGGATGGTTCAAAACGATAAAGCTTACTCTTTGCCTAGGCTAAGCATTTCCATCTACAGCTATGAACCGTGTCAGTAAAATAATGTTTTTTTTTTGGGTTAGGCCCTTTTGGTCGACAAGACCATTGCAGAGCCGGAAGGATGATAGGAATTAGGGGGAGACATTGGTCTGGGCAGGCACCCTAGTGAGTCGCCGGGGCTGAGCCCGTCCAGAGGACAGGCCACCCAGCCCCAAGGCACTCACTGCACCCGGCTACGGGGTGCGCTCCCTCAGGAGCAGCGGTGCCGCTCCAAGGGAGCAGCCCGCATGAGATAAAGTTGCCTGTCCAGCCCGGAGGGGGGTTGCGGCTTGGAGGAGAAGGATTTCAGTATCCTGAGGATAGAAGCACGGATAGGTGAGTAAAATAATGTTGCACACTCCGGCTGTATCCCTGCGGACGGCGGATTACAGAGTGCGGATCCCAGCGCCCGGTCTCGGATAGCGGCCTGTGCCGAGCTGCGGTCTCTGGTGCTACTCCGACACGCTGCGATGCAGTC